CTTCAGTCCCCAAGCCGACGCTCTATCCATTGAGCCAAACCGGTCCCGGCTTAGTAATACAATATTAAGTAAAAGTAATAATCCATCAAAAATTACATGCAGCAGTATTTTTATAAGGTAAAAAAAAAAAAAAAACCTAAAATTTTTAAGATAAAAGTTTTAGGAATATATATAGTAGTAATAAATGCCAGATAGCTCAGTTGGGTAGAGCATCATCCAAATACATCAAGGTTGTGTGTTCAATCCCTGATCAGGGCACATTTGAAAAAAAATGAGAAAGAAGAAAAAAAATGTACATATGAGAAAAAAGAATGATGCATACCTTGGGAGAGGGTGGAATGGGGATGGATCACAGTTAAGAGTTTAGCTATTGCCTAAATCTTAGCTTTCATGTTCATGAGTCCTTATGGTAATATTAATACTATAAGTAAATAAATGTGTCCTGTGCATGGAGCAATGAAAAGAGTGAGCCATAGCCGGGACCGGTTTGGCTCAATGGATAGAGCGTCGGCTTGGGGACTGAAGGGTCCCGAGTTCGATTCCGGTCACGGGCATGTACCTTGGTTGTGGGCAAATCCCCAGTAGGAGGTGTGCAAGAGGCAGCTGATTGATGATTCTCTCTCATTGATGTTTCTAACTCTCTATCTCTCTCCCTTCCTCTCTGTATAAAATCAATAAAATATATTTAAAAAAAAAAGAGTGAGCCATAAACCAAGGTTATGATTAATCTAATCCTGTGTACCTGACATCCTAACGGATGTCAGGCAGCCTTGCTTGTTTGGGAGCAATGGGAAAAGATGCTTCTCTCCCAGCCCTCTCTGGGACTTTTTTCCAGGGACGGACCCAGGTTCTTCTTCTAGAGAGGTGAACTGGTGGCACAAAGGTGGGACAGCGGGAAAGAGGAGTAATCCTGAGTTTAGCTACTTCAGGAAAAGGATCCCAAAATTGATGGGGAAATGGCCCCTTCCCAAGGCTAGAGTTGGAATCTGGAGGTGCAGGTCAGCTTCCCCCAGTCCCCAGGTTAAAAACTGCAGGGTGTGTAGTTTCCCACCCATTTCCTGTTCTGCTTCATTGAAAACCTCAGCGTGGGGGTGGGGAGGAGTTTCATAAGTGGGTCCTGAGAGAATGGGACTGTGGTCACAGGGTAGACAGTCATTGTAAGCATTTGGGGTACTGGGCACTGAAATAAGCAGGGGCCAAAACCAGGATCTTTGAAGGGACCACTGACTTAAAACTTTTTTACACATTGCTTTCCTTTCAGTCTGGCCCACAGCATGCCCGGGTCTTCAATACTTCCTACCCCTCACCTCCCTGCCTTCCCTTCATCCAGGCTATAGTTCTTAATCCTATACCTTCACCTCTACATCTGCCAATCCCTCCCAATAGGCCCTTCTTTAGGGGGGGAGGGGGGAGAAGATGGGGAGAAGCCCTGGGAGGGTAGCTTAGAACTCTTCACCTTAGGGAATGGGACTTGAAATCAGATTGAGCTGGGTTGGGCTGCCTAGGCTGGAGTCTTACCTTTGGGAAAAGGGAATACAGGCTAGAATAGGCTAAGGATATTGAAAGGGCTGGAGATTAAGCAGTCCTAAAAAAGTGGGGCTAGAGGTAAGGCTGAATTGGGCTGGGATAGGAAGGAAATATGGGGAAAGAGCTGAGCCCAGACTTAACTGAGAGTCTGGGATTCAGGGCCTACGCCTCTGCAATGGAGACTAACTGGCTAAAACAAATTTTTCTGTATCATGTTGGCACCTGGGGCAGGACCCTCACCTGCTCCTAAAAACAGAGGATGAGGGCCTTGAAGGGACTCTCCCTTCCCCTATCTCAGCGATTCCTCTTGACCAAGGTCCTTCCTCAGAGAGGTTGCTGGGGCCAACAGGGAGGAGCCAGATCTGCGGCTCCAGAGGAAGTCCGCTGGCCACTGTTTCCTGAGTTCAAAAGTGGGTCCCCCAGTCTTTCCGACACACTCCCTTCCTCCAAGCAGGGCAGAGTCCACGCCTGGCAATTCACCTTTTTTTTTTTTTTTTTTTAAATTTCCCCACCTCCTCCAAAATACACACAATGAACCTTCATATGCCAACCCAGACACGCAACTGCTGCCTCAGCAGCCCCCCAAACCCAACACATACTGCTAAGCCATGGATTGGTTTCTGTATTTGAATGCATTCTCATTTCTGTATCCGTAGTCTCCCGCTAACATCCAGCAGTCATGCCTTCTCTGCCTTGTTCAGAACCATATCCCTAGCACCTAGAGTTGTTCCTGGAAACTGAAGAGAGCTGAGTGAATGGATCCACTAAGACACACATACCATAAACAAGTGCTACACTATCCCACATACATATTCACACATGCACCTGTTCCATGACCTACACCTAAGGCCTCTCCCACTCATCAGTCACACATATACATACAATGGCACACACGCGGGCAAAAATGTTAGATGTACACCGAGTACCAGACAGACACACTGCAAGTAGGAATTACCTAGCACTCTCAGGGTGAGCTGGTGGCAGCAGCTGTCTGGCCAATGTCCTTCAGTCAGGTCAGGCCTGCAGGAGGAGTGGTGTGTTTGTGTGTAAGCAAACGCAGGCTTTGGGGTCCTGAGGCACTGGGCAACAAAGAGCTGGGCTGGCAGCAAGCAGGGCTAAGATTCCTCCTGAATTGGAGAGGGAGCGGGGGTAGGCTGTGAAGTGCTGTCCCCTGGTTTCTTCTGCTAGCTGGGAGATGAGGGTAAAGACACAGGTCCATGAGGTCTTACTTCAGATCCAGAGAGACCTTAGTGAGGGAATAGTCTGAGGCCTCAGGTTCCCCTGTCTGGGATGAAAATGAGGGAGACTGGGTGGGGGGCTTTATAGGTACTGAGACGCTCTATGGAGTGTCAGACTGCTCCCTAGCAACACTGCTTAAGCATCCTCCTCTTTCCCTCCCTCCATGCCCCGCCCAAAGCCAGCAAGGAGATAAACAATCCCACTCTCCGACTTGAGACCTACACAGCTGGGCTGGTTGGCCTCCCTAGTAGAGACCTGAATCTCACTGGCTGCGCCTCCCATGAACTCTAACCACCCAAAAGTCCTTCAGACTGTTCTCAATCCTACCCCCAATAGCCTAATCCAGGGGAGGATATCCCAGGAACCCTGCCTCAGGGCCACCTTTCTGGCAACCCCAAGACAGGAGTGAGAAACAGCTGGGGGGGAGGCGGAATGGGGAGTCAACTTTTGAGGGACAAGGGGCCATATTGGGATACATGAAAAGCAACCCCAGAATGATGAGGGGAAATGTGAGGTGGGAGTAAAAGGGAATCCACAGTCCAATTCATACCTCATCCCCAGTGACTGGTCTTAGGACTGCAGAAAGGAGGGAAAAAGACTGCTTTGGGCAGTCATTTTGGGCACCAATGACCAACCAAGACACACTCAAACCCAAAAGTCTCTTTATTGATCTGTACCATACATGACTCAAATGGCCAAAAAAAAAAAAAAAAAAAAAAAAAAAAAGCCTTACAGTTAGGGTGAGACATTCATCTTCTCCACCCCCTTCCCTCAGCTCCTGGCACAATACCCTTACAACAGTGGCAGCTAGAGTGAAGGAATCAGGGGGTAAAGGGCCCCAGAATCCAGAAGGAAGAGTAGGGAAGAGTGTGGTACTAACACTTCTGGAACTGTAAGTGGGAAAAGGCAGAGCTGGGCCCAGACTCATAGGATCCTGCTTTTGGCCTCAAACTGGGCTCAGAGCTTCTACATGTCCAAGTGAAAGAGAACTGAGGATCCTGGAGCCTTCCCCTTCCTTCTAGGAGACCAGGACCTGGAGGGTATTGGGAGATGAAGATCCTCTACTTCAGCTGGCAAACAGAGGCCTATTCCCCCTGGTGAGCTTAGAGCTGGGACATCCTCAGTGGCTCCTCTATGGAGGGCAGAGGAGGACTAGATACAAAATTTGAGGGATTGGAGAAAGAAAGCACTGGAGAATATGGATGAACCCCTCCCTTATCCCATGCCTGCCCAACTGAGACAAAACAAAAAACACAGTGACAAACAAGGCTGCTCCCTTCCCGCCACACTCCCTAAGGGAGGGAGCCTCCCCTCCTCCCATCCAAGGCAGCTGCTCTAGTGGAGGGCTTGTAAAGAATACACATCATGGGGGGGAGGGGTTTGAGGGAGTCACAAGCACTAGTAGGGCAGGCTAGACTCCTGGAGGATGGGGAGAAGACAACAGATGCGAGCTGTTACAAAGGTGAGGCCACCAATGGCTCCCTGCCCCATGGCATGCCTTCCCCAACTCCAGTCACCCCCAAGGAAAAGGAAAGAGAGATGGCAAAGTGTCTCCTTGGTCTGAAGCTCTTAAACTATATAAAATGATGTGTAACCCCCACACTCACCTCCACCTGGACCCTAAGCCCCCCATCTGCCAGGTATAGGGAGGTAGCTGGACTTCTAATAAGGGGAAGATGGGGGACATGAGTGATTTTTTTTTTTAAACTTACATTTTTAATAATATTATTTTTTTTTTTTTTAAAAAAACATGAAGCTGGGAGGTGGTAAAAGGGAGGGGCTCAGAGTTTTACCCCCCTATTACCAGCCACCTGGGTGAAGAGCCTGGGGGAGGGGTGTTCAACCAAGCTCCATACATTTAAGTCCCTAGGAGCTGTGGGTACAGACAACCCCAGGCTTGAAGGGGGCAGAGTCAGGAGGATGAGGGACCCAGAACCTGGGGTGAAGATGGAGGCAAATGTTCAGAACATTTCTCAGAGACCCAGGGTCCTTGTAGGCATCCACATGAGTACCCTCCTTCCCCCAAAAGGCTCTGAAGAGGCCAGGCCCAGCCCAGGGCCACTAGGGGGCAAAGCTTGGCACCTGCCCCCAGCGAGTCCAGTTCCTCCCTGCAGTGGGTGGATGGAGGCTGCCCATTTCAGATGCTCAGTCTCTTCATTCTGTCTTCTGCTCCCTGGGGCTTCGAGGGGTGGGGCAGGCGGGCAGAGCGCTGCGTGGCCCTGGTGAGGAGGCCTTTACTGGGAGGCTTGTGACGTGGGGTTCTCCGATTTGCTCTCTTGGCTGGAGGGAGGCTTGCTGTTCCAGGGGCTGTTGGCGCCCAGGGCAGGGGAGTTGTTAAAGCTGTCCTCGTCGTCAATGCCGTTGGCCGCGTCAAACTGGGTATTCTCCAGCCGGGTGATGAGCCTCTCGTCCTCGTCCCCGAACTCCCCGCCCATCAGGGTGGGCTCCCCCACCACCATCACATCCTGAGAGTGGCGGAGGTCCCCAAACATAATCGGGGCAGGGGCTCGCCCGACCCAGGGCGGCAGAGACCCCCCAGAGCCCCAATACCCACCCGAGAAACTCAACACCCCCTCCGCCCCCTTCTCATACCCCAATTTCAAACATCGACTCCTCTATCCCCCAGAATCTTTCCCGCTGAAGGACTGCGGAGCATCACACCCTTTAACCCACATCCACTAGGATCTGGGAAGTCAATTTACTCCCCTGGCTCCCTATTCCACCTCCCTCCCACTTCAGGTGGCTCCTAAACTTCTGTCCACATGTGGGAGAGGGAGCGGATAAAAAACACCAATGGGGAAAGAATGTGCATGTGCGTGTCGGTGTGTTGTAGATTCACACGTATTGCGGCTGAATGGCCCTCTGTCAATGTGAATGTGCATGTCTCTGATGGTCTGTGTGCCCCTAAGCTGTCTGTCCTGAACGTCCGTATGTTATCATGGCTGACTCTGTCCCTTTATATCTGTACTGTTCTGTCTGAGTCTGTGTGACCACAACTGTGCATGTGACTAACAAGGACTGTCATCAGTGATAAGAGTCAGCCATGCTGGCAGAGTACACTGGTAAAAACCGTCTGTGTTTCTATGTCCACTAGTGTGCTCACAATGGGACAGGGTCAAGGGTCAGGGTCAGCAGTGGGGCAGCCCAGAAGAGAGAAGAAAGCCGAGATGCTTACAGGTACCTGGCTGGAGAGGGCGAAGGTGCTGGCTGGGCTTTTCTTCTTGCTGTTGCTGTTGTTGGTGTTGCCACCCCCCGAGCTCATGGTGCTGCCCCCTGACATCTTCCGTTTCCGCCGTTTGCTGGGCTGCTGCCGGGCGGGCTCCGCTGTGCCAGAAAAAGGAAACTCAGGTAGGGCAGGGTTCTGGGCCCCTGGCTCCCTATTCTGGCTCCTAAGGAGCCTGAGCCTAGCCTGATCCCAATCTTGCAGACCCAGGGCCAAGACAAGGGCTTCATGAGAAGAAACAGCCTTGGAGGATGGCATCAGATCCTGGTAAGAACAGGTACAGGTGCAAGGCACTCACCGGGGGGTGCTACCATACGCTGCCACTTCTGGAAAAGGCAGGTCTTGAGGCAGTCGCGAGGGCTGAGGCTGTAGGTCTTGTGGCGGGACATGAGCTCCTGCATGGGCTCAAGTATCACACAGAGCTGTAGGGAGATCAGAAGCGGGCTTTTCAGGGGAGGGACATGGAACTGAGACCAAGTGGAATAGGCCAGAGACTAGGCGATCAGACTCACTCGGAGGTAGTTGAGAGTGGAATTGGACAGCCCACAGCGTGTGATATTTTTGGAGAGCTGATCCAACATCTGGGGGTCCTGGGCCTGGAGGCAGAGAAAGATAAGAATACTAGCACTTAGGATGCATCTGCTCTCCTGCCCTATCATCTGAGCCTGTGACACTCCTGAAAAAGAGGGGCTAGTATTCAATAATCTTTTAAAATATATTGATTTTTTTACAGAGAGGGAGGGAGGGAGATAGAGTTAGAAACATTGATCAGTTGCCTCCTGCAAACCTCCTACTGGGGATGTGCCCACAACCAACATACATGCTTTTTTTTTTTAAACTATACATATTATAACCTTTTTTTTTTTTTTAATATATTTTATTGATTTTGTACAGAGAGGAAGGGAAAGAGACAGAGTCAGAAACATCGATGAGAGAGAGTCACAGCTGCCTCTTGCACACCCCCTACTGGGGATATGCCCGCAACCAAGGTACATGCCCTTGACCGGAATCGAACCCGGGACCCTTCAGTCCCTAAGCCGACGCTCTATCCATTGAGCCAAACCGGTCCCGGCCAACATACATGCTTTTGACCAGAATCGAACCTGGGACCTTTCAGTCTGCAGGCTAATGCTCTATCCACTGAGTCAAACCGGTTGTGGCATCAATAATTTTTTAGGTGGAGAAACTTTAACCCTCTGAGGTCACTGACAAGAAATGGCAGACCTTATTCCATCCCTCCCACTGTCTGCCCTCCCCCTTTATCTTGGGTTCTGCCCACACTCACATGCATGGCAAGGATGCTGCGGGGGATGAGCTCCCGGTGCTGCCGGATGCTGAAGTGCCACGTCTTTATCCGCATCATGTCATCAAACATGAACTCCAGGTACAACCGCCCCTCCACACACACCTGGAGACAAGGTTGTCACAGCTCTGCCCCCTCCCCATACCTGGAAGTATACCTGTTCTCCCGTTTGCTCATAACTCCCTCCTGCATATACTTCTGCAACCTGCACCTGAATCTGGGTGTGTAATTGACATGGACTATCTCCTCACATACCTGTCACACCCTTGACCCTTACAAAGAACACATACATGGTAGAAATGCTTAACTGATCCTGTCTTCTCCCATGTAGCTAGTGATACACTCATCTGCTTTAAGCTTCCTATGAAGGCAGGCTCTTGTTCATTTAGTGTATATTCCCCCGTGGCCTAGAATAGTCATGTACCAGCTCAGTAAATGCCTGCTCAATGCTGCAGCACACCTGCCCTCCCTTCTTGTTTGATCACTTCCCATTATGCCTCCTTGGGGCAGAGCGGAGTACATTTTTGGGAAAGAGGAAGGGAATCAAACTCAGGCGCTTCAGCATTCCACATCCAGCTGGATTGCTGACCTGGGTGAACATGGGTTTGCCGTGCTGGGTCACCATGCTGCCCTGGTCACAGTCGAGGGACACAAAGTTGCTGTGGAATGCCTCCTTGGGGTGCTTAAGCACATAGTACAGCTCGGTAGCACCACCCTCAAAGATGCTGCGGAAGTAGCGTGGGATCAGGGTCCGGCCAATGGCTGCAGAGATGGGAAAAACTCTTTAGAATAGAAGGACCTCAAAAGGGGTCAGGCAGATGCCACCCCTGCCAAAACAGATAACCTGAGACAAATATCCACTCCCAGACCTTAGAAGGACACAGGAGGTACACACTCCCACAGCAGAACTGGCAGAACCCTCAGAGGCCACTCACTGTATCTCTTTGGTCCATCCTCCAGACAGAAAGTGATGGTTAGCATGGCATCATCCTCAAAGAACTCAGTTGTGAAAGCATCCCACCAGAGATTGTCACACTCCTAAGAGCACCGGGAGAGGTATGTGTGTGTATCAGAAGATATCCCACAAGGGTGCCCAGATGGCCCTCACCCTCCGCCTTCCCCTGGATACCTCTGTCCAGTTTTGAAGCCGTTTGTTAAGCTCGAATATTCTGTAGTCAGTTTGGTTGCCATATGGTGTGTGCCTTCTGGGGTAAGTGTAGAAGAGAAGTTAGTAGGAGCAGCGCCTCCTCCCCACCCACACCTCTGCCTTCACCCATGTAACAGAAAGTACCTCCCACCCCATTGGACTCCACTTACCCAATCCCAGGCTCCAGGTATGTAGGCGGGTACATGGGAGTTGGGCTGTATAAGGGAAGAGGCTATGAGAATGGGGGTGGAAGACAGGAATTATTGGGAGATGTCACTCCCTCCCCTTTTCAGGCAGGATCCCATCTGGAAAAGGGATGAGAAGTGAACAAAACTCACCCCACATCCCGATCTAGCATGGTGCCGGGATGGAAGGGAGGGAAGGCGTTGCCGTTCGGGGGCTCCTTCGGTGAGTACAGCTTGAATGACTTTGAGGAACAACCTAGAATGGAAAGGAAGAATGCCCCTTAGGAGCTTTCCTAAAGTTTGCTAGACTGTGTGGACAGTGATCCAAGGGAGGGGGACTACCCTAGGAAGTATCTATCTCTGCTTTTAAATCTGGTTCCAATCTTATTTTATTAAGAAACTAGAAGTACCCAGGCCCAATCTCCAAGACCTTATTTCTCCATGTGACTGAGGCCTGGATGATAAAATTGAAACTGGGAAGAAATGTCAATACCCAAACATTACAACCTAATAAATAAATAAATATCCAAATATTACAACCTAATTTTGATAAACCCCCTTTTCAACTACATTATTTTGTTCATTCATCACAACCACGGTGTGAGGTAACATTCCCATTTTACAGACTAGGCAATTGAAAGCTCAAGGGGACTTGCCAAGATCATAAAGCTAGGATTTGAGCCCAGATCTTCTGATTATTCCCATATCCAGCAGTATTTTTACCTTTCTGTTCCCTCTGAAGAGCAAGTTGTGGGAGAAAGAAAGGGAATCTGGTCAACTCCCTGCCCCTCCTCCATAGCCAGGGTCTCAGGAGGACAGGGGATGGAAAGATAAAGGGGGGTGGGTGCCTGCTGGGTGCTGAAGACCAGATAACCACTTGGGCCTTCTGTCCCACCCCCCTCCAACGGCCACTCCCTTATCAGCCAGCCCCCTCCCTCACACCTACCACCAACCTGGTATTGTCTCCAAACCAGAAACCCAAAACCTCAACCCATTTTGCCTTTGAGACTTACAGTCACTGAATCTTGCTCAACTTACAAAAGGAAAAGAGGAGGCCTAGGACTAGCTTCCAGGAGGCTCCTTCTTAGAGGCAAGTGGTAACTAGACAGGGACCTCTGCTTGTATCTGTGCTCCTGCATACGTCTCCTTTCCACCTCACCCAGCAGCACTGGTGCTTAGTAAACTATACTACCTAACTGGAAGATGTGTTATTCATAGTTGGGTATGAGCCAGGTGCCCCTGCAATGCTACTTTCCCTCTCCCTACAAGATGAGGGGAAACTGAGGCACCACTCCAAAGGTCCTGACCCCAGTTACAGGTGCTTCCTCGTCCCCAGACTTGACTACATTTGGGAGGGTAGTTGTACTGGTTGTGTCTGAGCCTCCTCCTCAATTTAGACACAAAATCTACTTTGTCCTTAGGGGGAAGAGACAAAGGAAGACCCTGTGCCAACGTGTCATTTAATTCTCTCCCCAGGGATCTTCCTCACAATACAGGCAAAAGGGGGGTCCCAGAAGGGCCTACACGATACAGTCCCTGAAGAAGCCAAGAGTCAGAGCCTGTGTATGCCTGCACACATGTATGCCTCATCTTGCCTAGCAGGCTCGTCCCAACATGCCTACCAAGGGCTGGATCCAGCAGCCCCAGGCAGGATCAGGATGCCCAAAACAGGCCCTCGCCCCATGAATGAGCTCACACAGGCCACGTCCGTATGTTCCCATCACAGCTTTACATGCCTGTCTGAACTGAATGAGGAGCCTGTGTCCTCAAGAAAAGGGACAGTCCCATCCAGCTCCAAGTCTCCCCACGCCACAGACAGGTAGACCAAAGCCACGTAGGAAGCCCAAACTCACACAGCTCACCACGGGCCAGGCCAGGCCTTAACCAGGCCCACCCTTCCCCCAAAAGCATCACTGCCTTTGCGCTTAGTCCCAGGGCCACTTGGAGAAATGTGTCAGCTCAAGACCCTAAAAAGAAGAGAGGCAGGACACCTGGGTTCCTCTTTAATTCTGAAAAAAGTTTCAGAATTTCAATTTCTCTCACTAGCACACTGACAGGCACTGAAGAGGAAAAATTCAAAAGGTCTGTGGACTCTATTTACACCTCCAGTGAATGGACACAAAAACTCAGCACCTCCCCAGAGGCATAGCAACTCCCAGTAGCCCCAGCACAAGGGCCTGGGAGAGAGAAGAGGAGGGGAGGGAACATCACCCAGACCATCTGTCCCTGCTGCTGCCTGTCCCCAGCAGCAGGGGTAGAGGGAGCAAAGAGGGGGTGGGGGTGGGGATGAAAGGGACGTGTCATCCAGTCTTGGAGTCAAACATAGCCCCTTCCCATCTCTAGCAATCTGGGAAACCTTAGGAAGGAGGAGAAAGGAAGAGCCCAGAACTAGTAAAGTTTTCTCAGGATGGAAGCTGCATCTTAGGGCTGAGGGGGGCACCTCCAGCTGGGCATTTCCATGGTAACCGGCCTGACTTGAGGGCAGGCTCCCTCCCTTTGGGGCTGACCAGAGGTCAGCAGGCCGGGGAGCCCTGGCCTCTCTCTGAGTGGAGGCACCTCTTCCCCAGCCAGCATACCAGGCCAGGACCAGACCCAGCACCTTCTACCCACCCCCTACAAGCTTGCAGGGCGCTCAGACTTACCTGGGAGAACTGAGGGGCCCAAGAGAGGTGCGGGGAGAAACTGGCAGCCCACCAGGGCTCTGGCAGGGGTGAGGGCTGAAGGGGGGCCAACTTCAGCCGCTCATGTCCCGAGTGGGACGGGCAGGCCTGGCTGGGAGCTCCACTCTGCAGGCCGCACAAAGACTCGCACGCACTGCCTGGGCCTGCCCCGTGGCGGCCGCAGCCCCGGGGGAAAGTTATAATGGCCACTGGGCCGGGGGCCGGGGGGCCGGCCTGGGGGGCGGGGGACTGCGGGGAGTCCGAAGCCTTCTTTGTTTGCGAGGTTTCCCTCAACAATGGCTGCTCCGCTCTCTCCTCTCTCCTCCTCCTCGGCTCTCCCCGCCGCCGCCTCTCGCAGCCTCTGCCTCCAAGCAGCCCACCCGCCCTCCCCAGGCCAACAGGCCCCTGTGCCCGGGCACCAGGAGGGGCAGCGCACGGCACTCACACTCACTCACAATCGCACACGCACAGACACACACAGCGCCCACCAGCTCACAGCCTTTCCTCCCTTTCTTCCCCTCCCTCCCTCCCTCCCAGCTCGCTCTCGGAGCCTCTCTCAGAATGAGGCCCCAGGGCGGGCGGAGGGTGGAGCTGCCCCCACCGGCCCCGCCCCCTCCCAGCCGGGGAAGAGGAAGAGGGAGGGGAAGGGAGGGGGGGGAGAGAGGGAGGCAGGCAGGCAGGCAGGCCTGGAGGACTGCTGAGAAAAACAAAGAGAGACAGAGACGGGGAGAGAGACTGGGACACGGAGAGATGGAAACAAAACAGGCTGGGCCTGCAGAGACCTGGGCAGAAGGGAGGCCTGTGGGGGCCAGGAACTGCAATGTTTCACCGACCCCTCCCCAACTCAGGTGTGGAGCTCAGGAGGGAGCAGGGCAGCCAAAGCCACAGGCAGGGGTGGAGGAGGGTGCCCTCCTCTCTGGAGACTCCCAGGATCTTCCAACGGCCTCCCAAAGGCGCCCTAAGTCCCTCTCCCTCTCCTCTGTGATCTCTCTGGTCTGGGCTGCCACCCCAGGTGAAATCCCAGAGCAGCCAGGTGGGGGGAGATTCCAGGGGGGGTTACTTTTGACAGAGATAGACTCTGACTACAGCCTGTAAACACTGATTAGAGGGAGGGGGACACTCCAGGCTCCTGGGCCCCCAACCCAGCTAGGTTCCAAGCCCTGACTGAGATCTGCCTTAGCAGGAGGCCCCTTCCTCCTCTTCCTTCTCCTCCTCCTCCTCCATTACCACCATCATCATCACCACCACCACCAGAGACACGTGGGTGCAGGGGAAAAAGGCCTGTCAGAGCCAGGAAAGCCACGCTTGCCCAACCAAGAGTCTATAGGAGGGGCTTAGTCTGAGGCTGAATCCTCCCCAACACCCCAGGAAAAAGGATATGTAGTTCCTGGAGTAGAACCTGTTCTCCAATGCAAAGGGTAACCCCAAGAGAGGAGGTGTTTCTAAAACTTGGGTAGCCCTACTCCCTGGCCAGATAGGAAAAAAGAAACACACACACACACACACACACACACACACACACACGCTAGAGAGGGCAGCGTATGATCTCCTACTTCATTGAAGGTGGAGTTGCTACTCCCTGTTTCCTACTCACCCCCACCACCTTCACCCACAGTCCCACGACACACACACCAGTTGACTGTGCAGAAATAATACTGCACCTGGCTCTGTGAACATCCTCCACACATACATAACACATCTCACTTTCACATAAATCAGTACCTGATGCCCACCTGATACACACCTTTAACCACTGCTATACCTCAAACCCTAAATAAACCCAAACCCAAGATGCTCATACACAGTCTATGAAAGACCCTGACTTCCACACACACTGGGACTAGTGACACATATTCCCCTAACCCTAAATATACACACCAAAAGTGCATTATATACCTCCTGGACTTGTGACAGACTATTACATACACGTACTGACCATTTGTTATCGGGGGTTGAACCCCATAAACCACACTTCCTGAAACCTGCGCGGCATTCTCCCTCACAGCCTGGCCGCGGCACGCCCCGGCTTTCACAAACATCGAAGAAATCTGTGACATTCAGCCAGACCCAGCAGAATACTGCCCGCACCAGGATTCGACTCCCAAATTTACCGTTCAACTCTGGGATAACCACACTCCTCCCACCACTGACAATTCCTGTCATTTGTGTGGTGCCTTTAAACTTTCCAAAGTGCATTCACAGGCAGTACCTCAAGAAATCCTAACAGCACCCAGAGCCAAATACCACCCTAACTAGAACAGACTATAATATGACAGGAGGGCCTGAGCTGGAATCCTGGGTTTCTAACCTCACTCATCCAAGCCCAGCCCTAAAGCACTGAAGCCATTCCTATTCCCCCTCCAAGGAATGTCCATTCTAGGCCCCAAATGCGTGTCTACATGCAAAGGAGTACAGGTATGTGCTCTGGCGTCTGCTCCAGTTCAGAGCTCAGAACCCTGACTCAGTCTGCCTCCTCAAATTTGCGGGAGAAGTGCCCCTGTATACCAAGACATACCAAGGCTCTGGCATATCATCCAAAATGGTCCCCCTCTCAGTTCCTTCTCTAGCAAGTCTACGCCTCTCCATGTTCTGACTTAATTCTCTCACTTGCTCAGGGACAGAAGAGGTCCAGCCACAGAGAGCAAGTCTGAATTTCTGAATTAGAAGGCCCTAAAATGTGGGGTAGGAATGAGTAGGGAGCAGCAAAGAATGACAAAGGTGATGAGGAAAGAGTAGAGGGAGAGCACCCCTCCTGGAGGCGAGAACTCTGAAGGGCAGCAGCCTGCCCCAGCCCACAGGATAATGGACCAGCACTGCCCCCTGCCCGGGCCCCTGGGGCTCCCTGACCCAGGCCTCCAGTGTGTCTGCCCCCCTTTCTTTGTCTGTGCCCGGCCTCCCGTTGGCCTGGCGCTCTGCCATCCTCCTCTCCTGGCTCCCAGCCGCCACCACTGCTCTCTCCTCCCCTCCCCCTCTCCCTCCCTGCCTTAACCCTTCTGAGCCACATGCTGCCCCAGACAGGCCCTGGCCCCCTCAGCAACCTGCCATGACCAGGGTGATGCCCCTTAGCAGAGGGTCTACCTGCTCCTAACCAAAGCCCCAGAAGCTAGTCGCCACCCCAGGAGCACTCTGGGAGCCGAGTGTGTGTATGTGTGTATCTTGTGGTGTGCATGTTCGTGGGTCTGCATGTGCTCTGGCTTCCCTCAGTCACATGTGTGGGGCATGTGCCGTCTCTGCTGGGCTCGGGGAGGAGGAGGAGGAGGAGCTGGGAGACAGCAGAGCACAAAGGAGAGACTCAGACAGGCAGGCAGGCAGCAGTCGGGCTGCCTGCCAGGGCGCCTCAACCCCCACCCTAGGACTGCTCAGGTTGGGTGGTGGTGTGTGTATGGGGGGGGGGGGATTGTTTTTGGACCTGGACTGTACAGGCTGCCACGATGTCCTTGTGTTCAGCCATGTGCTCCCACCCACCCACCCACCCATGCAAGCCTGGTCCCCTCTCTCAGCCCAACTCCTCTCATTCCCCACCTCCAGGCCCCTCTCAAGCCCTTCTCCACGTGGTTCTCCTTTAACCTCCATCCATCCTCTGTGGCATCAATCCATCAGACTACTTCACGATCGGTTTAGGATTCCCCAATCTTAGCCATCTTTGCCCCCTCTCCCACAACCAGGTCGAGACACAAGAAACATGCCTTTTTGGGCCCCGACTGAATATGCCCCTCCCCCCAGTCCCATGTCTTGGTGCTGGAGTCCTCTTCCTGTCCCCACGCTGCTACACCAGAGGCTGAGGGGGAAACCTTCTCCCTTCTTTACTGGGGCCAAGCACCCTGTTTCACCTTCAGGGCCAACCTCCCATCTACTCCCAGCCTGACAGCCCCTCCATACCCGCAGCCTACCCACTATTTGTAGGAACTAAGTATCAAAATATAAGACTCAGTCCTCCAATTTGTCCAGAGCCTTAGTTTCTGCTCTGCTCACGTGTGGCAACGGAGGATCAAGGCCATGGGGTGGACTCAGAGCATGAATGGATCCAAACAAGGCACCCAGCATTTTCTTTATAAAGAAAATACACATATAAATATGCACACCAAGCCGGGAGGAGGGAGACTGATGGGGACTGGGCATGATTCCAGCTTAGTAAGCTCTTTCCTCTCCTCTTCCCCACTCTCTGCAGCAGGAGCCAGGGGTCCCCACACCGGGATACTCCAGGATTCTCAGGCTCTCCTAGCCCTCCTCCTGGGCCCCGGGCCCCTTAAACATCAGCCTCAGCAGGCACTTTAAGTGTGTGCCCAGCCCAGTTTGGCCAGGGTCACATGATTTTCAAGGAAGCTTCCTCACTGGCAGCTTCCCTTGGGGATGCGGGGGAGGGGTGGTGGTGGGGTATGGGCCTCCCACAAAACACGAGCATCCTGAGGAGCAAAGGTCCCGAACCAGACTCGATTTGGGGAAACCTGACTTTCAGGAGAAAGCTAACTCCAATCTGGGACAGGAGGGGGTCCTGCAAATAGCTCAAGAACCCAGGGTCCTGAGGTGTCCTGGGGATGTGGACAGTGTTTGAGGCCCTCTGAAGACTACCTCTCCAGTCACATCGCCTCTTTTCCCCTCCTGGCAGTGAAGGGGAGCCTTCCCTCCCCAGGACAGAACTCAGATCCAGGCTGTCCTTGGCAAGAGCAGTGTTTTGGGGAGGCAGGCATCTGACCCTAAGTTCTCTCTCAAATTCTTATTTTGGGTTCAAGCATTGCTCTCTTCAACTTCAGCCCTCACAAATCACTTCTAGTTCCTATTCTGCCTGGGGCTCCACATTCCCACTCTCACGAGGGCGGACGTGCTGGCCCCAGGGCCCAATTATCAGCCCTCCCCCCCCCCCCCCCCAGGAATACCTCCTGTCCCTCAGGATGGCCAGCCTTCCCTGGCAACAGGCAGGAGATTTTGAAGGGGGAAAGATGGGCCCCCATTAACCCCTCCACCCCAACACGGTGCTCAGAAACTGCCTGGAGGGGGGTGTCACAGGATCTTCAGAGGAAATAGGCAGCAGGGAGAGGGGGGGCAACACAAACCAGCCAATCGCAACTCTATGATGACCTGAGGGGGGGGTCAAAAGTCCAGACTCACTTCTGATTGGCTAACGCCCTGGAATTCTGGGAATTTCAGCCCCCCAACCCCTCCCCAAGTAATCCCCCCCCCTAAAAAAAAAAAAAAAAAAAACCCTACACACAAGCTACCCCCAAACCCTAGCATCCCCTCCCCGAGCCTCCAGGCTGCTGCGCATTTACCCAGTTGGGGAAACCCCTCCCCGAGACCGAAGCCCCGCACGCCCCTCACAGCCCCTGCCTCCGCCATGCCATCGACGCCCCCCACACAAGTTCTCGCCAAAACAAGGGGTGAGGGGCCCGCAGAGGGCGAGGGAGGGAGGGGCCGAGCGGCCGTGCGCCTCACTCACCAGGACAGGCACAGCCCACTGACATCTTCACATCGCCCGCCGCCGGGGGCCCAGCCGAGTCACGGTGCCCGCCCCGCGCGGGGACAGGCCGGGCATGAGCCGCCGCCGCCGCCCGCGGCCCCTGCTGCCCTCGCCGTCGGCCCCGCCAGGCCCGGCCTCGGCCTCGGCCCCGGCCCCGGCCCGGTGCGGGCGGGCCCTGGCTGCGGCGCGGAGCCTGTCAGGCGCGGAGCAGGCAGGCAGGAAGCCGGGCGGGAAGGCGAGCTGCCGCGGCGTGTGTGCGCGCGCGGGCGTGCGTCCTCCGAGTGTGTGTCCGTGTGCGCGCGTGTGCGTGTCCGTGCGCTCCGCCGCCCGCCCCCCTCGCGCTCCCTCTCGCTCTCCGCCCTCCCTCCCGCTATCTCCGGCGCCCGCTCTCCCGCGCGGGCGGGGCGGGGCCGGGCCTCATTAATATGCTAATAGCCCGCCGGTGGGCGGGGAGAGCGTGTCAAAGTGACCCGACGGGCGCGCCGCAGGCGGCGACGTGCGTGCGCCGCGCGGCGGGCGGGCGGCGGGGGGCCCGGCGCGCTCGGGGGAGGCAGGCATGTGACGCAGCTTTTAAAAAAGGAGACGGAGGCAGAGACCCCGGAGAGCGAGGCAGAGCGAGGGGGAGGGGCTAAAGGCGAAGCTCCACGCTCCGTGTCGGTCCTCCCGGCGCGCCGCCGAGGCGGGAGCTGTGACGAGCCGGAGCCGGAGCCGGAGCGGGAGCGAGAGCGGGGGGAGGCGGAGGCGGAGGCGGGGTGGGCTGCGAGGTATAGCTCTCTCCCCACCCCAGCCGCAAACTGGGAGGGAGAGGTGACTGATGACCAGCCCCCCCCCGTGCTCCCTGCTGAGACCCCAGTCTTACTCTGGGGGCCCCTGGTCAAGCGCCCCCGTTCAACCCGGGTGAAGAAGCATTATCCTAATTCTTGTGGCAACCCTTCACCTCGCCTCCGCCCTACACTAAACCACCCTCCCTGGCCTGCTAAACCAGTTGGGACTAGAGCTAAAAGGGTTAATTAAGTGGGGTCCCCGCCCTCCCCCGCCTGAGGGCCCGGGATCAGCGCTTTCCTGGGGGGAGGGGGCTGAGGAATGACCGCTGGGTCGGACTGGGGAGGTGGGAATCAGCAGGCTGTCCTTCCCTCTCTAGCAGGCTCCCTGACTCATCAGTCAAGACACTCTCCTCCCTTCCCCACTTCTCCCTCCAGCCTCCGCCTCCGCCTCCCCCACCCCACCTCCAGTTTCCCACCTCCCCTCCCCCGTCCCTCCCCTGAAAGCTGCTCTCCTTTGAGGGTCTGGTGGTTGGCGAGAGCCCCGCCAGTGTCCCCCTACCCGCAGGGGCTTTGGCCACGGTGGGAGTGGGGTGGGAGGGAGGATGATCTGGATGGTCAATGTAAGGAACACTCCTTCCCTAGGGAGGAGCCTCCCAACCTTCAGGCACTCCTCAAGGACTCCCCAACCAGCCGTAGGAGGGGGCTGCTGCATCTCCTCCATCTCCATCCTTTCCCAAAAGCCTAGCCTTAGCTGCCTCATAAACAGGAAATACCTATTAGCAGGGGGAGGGAAGGAAACCGTCTGGAAAAGAGAATTGGTCCCCTCCCTTTTTTTGGGGGGGGGGGGCGGTTTCCCAGCTGCCAGCTTCTCTTCCTTAAGCTTCAGGGTGGGCTGCAGGAGTAGATGCTGGGGCTCTGGGCTGAGGCCTCTGGTTGGGACTGAGCAGGGGGTCCTCTTTCCCTTTGTTACTTAGAGGGGGATTGATAGCGAAGGTTCCCTCCTGCCCAGTCTGCACAGCTGGTTTGGCTGGGGGAGGATTACAGATGTGGAGATTTAAGTGTTATGAGACTCCTTCTCTCCACCTTAGCTTTCGCTGAGGGAGCACGGAGTTATGGGAGGGTGAGGATCTGGGGATTGGGAAAAGGACCTTCCTAGGTTTGGGAACCTCTCCCATGTGCTGAGGAGTGTGTTGGAGAAGGGAGCTGTAAGCACTGCCATATACTGCCTTCCCCATTCTCATCTACCTATTTGATTTCCCCACTCCAGCCCTTCCTATTTCCACCTTTTAGGGATGGGGTGGGGGGGCGGGAGCTGAAGTCGTCCACAGGTATCCTTGACAGCATCCCCTGCCTGTCTCCCTCCTGCCTACATCCCCCAGGCAGAGGTAAAGGGAACCTAGAGCAACAGAACCCTGACGTGGAACATTGGATTCTTGGGGTTGAATTCCATCTTTGCCCCTCACCAGCCAGCGACCTGAGACAGTTGACTTCCTCACTCCAAGCTTTACCCTCAAGCTTTATTCTCTGTAATTGGTGAGAATCAACTAGGCAATATATGCCCAGTCACCTAGCCCAGTGCAATATACATTAGTATTCAGTATTCAATATACATTAGCCTCTTTCTGATTCCTTTGAAGTTATCTATTATTTCAAGAGTGTCAGGAGTGGGCTGGATTAGCTGGAGGATTAGAGATAGAGGGGTGGAGAGGGGCTACCTGCCTTGATTGCTTTCACTCTCTGCTTTCTGTGAATTTGCATTGGTGTTCCCTCTAATCCTGTGACCACTTTTCCCCTAAGGTCACTCATGCCAAACAACTAGCTTGGCCAGATTCCATAGTAATCGCCAATTACCTGGGTGGACAGAGGATTTACAACCCACTTTATAGGACACTTTGCTTCCTCTGAATCTGAGTCCCTTCTCCTAGATTATATATAGGGAAGGTGGAAGGCAAAAAAGAAAAACTTTTTTGAGCATTGTGCGAGGTGTTTCACACCTGAGATCTCATTTACTGTTCATGACAACCTTTGGGAAAAGTTGCTATTACCTTCATAAAACAAGCAGGAAAACAGGCTTAGAGGTTAATATATATGATTTTATCTGTAAACCATTCTTATTCCTCTTTGCCTACTAATTAGTTAATGCCTCATTTAAATTTTTTATTTATTTTTAACTATATCTTTTATTGGTTTTAGAGAGGGAGAAAGAAAGAAACATCAATGATAAGGAAGAATCATTGATTGACTGCCTCCTGCATGCCCCCTACTGGAGGTTCAGCCCACAACCCCAGGCAGGTCCTCGTGGTTGGTTCATAGGTCTGTGCTCAAATACTGAGCAACACCAAAGGACAGTTACTGCCTCATTTAAATTTCAGTTTCAGCTCCATCTCCTCTAGGAAGTTTCCCCTCTCACTCCCATCCCAGCTGAGCTAGTGGTCCTATTGGCTTTAGAAAAATATCATCTCAGCCGAGGCCGGTTTGGCTCAGTGGATAGAGCGTTGGTCTGCATACTGAAAAGTCCCAGGTTCGATTCCAGTCAAGGGCATGTACATTGGTTGCGGGCACATCCCCGGTGGGGGGTGTGCAGGAGGCAGCTGATCAACGTTTCTCTCTCATTGATGTTTTTAGCTCTCTATCCCTTTCTCTTCCTCTCTGTAAAAGATCAATAAAATATATTTAAAAAAATATATATATATATAGCAGGGACATGATCTGGTTTAGATTTTTAAAAATGTTTTGTTTCATTAATCCTAGAGAGAGAGTGCATGGGATGGGGAGAGACACAAAGAGAGAAACATCAATGTGAGAGAGACACATTGATTGATTGCTCCCTGCATGCACCCTGACCAGGGCCCAGGATCAGTTATGGTGCACTGGACCAGGATTGAACCTCAGATCCTTAGGGCAAAACTGTATATTTTTATTTTTTAAAATATATTTTATTGATTTATTTTTATTTATTTTTATTTTTATTTTTACAGAGAAGAAGGGTAAGGGAGAGAGTGTTAGAAGCATCAATGAGAGAGAAACACCAATCAGCTGCCTCCTGCACACCCCCTACTGGGGATGTGCTGACAACCAAAGTACATGTCTTTGACTGGAATCGAACCCGGGAGACTTTAGTCCACAGGCCGACACTCTATCCACGGAGCCAAACCGGTCAGAGCAAAACTGTATATTTTAAAACTCTATAGATTTTAGAGGGAGAGGAAATAAGGAGAAAAAGAGAGGAAACATTGATGAGAGAAATATCTATTGGCTTGCCTCCTGCATGGCTCCTCTTGGGATGGAGCCTGCAACCCAGGCATGTACCCTGACTGGGATTCAATGCATGGGAGGAGCCCAACCAGTCACACCAGCCAGGACTAAATTTTTAAATTCATAGAAAAAGCATGGATGCATATACACTAAAGGTGACAGGGCTAAATCTGGGGAGAACTGAAATTTGTAGATTAAGTATATTTTTTCCTTTATGTAGCTTTGTATTCTTTGAAATGATTAAAGCTTATTTATTTATTTAATATATTTTATTGATTTTTTACAGAGAGGAAGGGAGAGGGATAGAGTTAGAAACATTGATGAGAGTCATTGATCAGTTGCCTCTTGCACACCCCCTACTGGGGATATGCCCGCAACCAAGGCATATGCCCCTGACCGGAATCGAACCTGGGACCCTTCAGTCCGCAGACCGACACTCTACCACTGAGCCAAACCGGTTTTGGCTAAAGCTTTTTTAAAGTTAGGAAAACAATATGAAGTAGCTTCTAAATGGCAAGTGAATGAATAGTAGAGATAATGATGGACTGTAGAAATACAGAGGGAATGTGGTTGGCTGGGATGATAAAAAAGGTTTTTCTGAAGTAGCATATGAAAGATGTGTCGAGGTTCAAGTATTCCAGACAGAAAAATCAAGGCAGAAGAACACCTATTGTCTTTGGAGGACAGCAAGGTGATCTGTCTGCATTAGCAGGACATTTGGTAATGAGTTACCTGAGCCCACTAGGGGATGCTGTTTCAAAACATAGGCCCATTTGGAATTAGGTGAAAGGAATGTAAGGCATAGCAGGTAAAACAACAAAAAGGGTGTTCCCACAGTTGAAAAAATTGGGAAAATAAAAATATGCGCAAATGTCAACTCTCCCCTTATTACCTCTTGCTCCACAACTGGGTCTCCCACACAACAAAAAACGAAAGCATTGCAATATGCCTATAGCATATACCACACAAGCTACGATTAAAGCGA